AATGTTGTCGGTTTCAAATAACAACAGTTCGTAATTTTGAAATGGATAATAAAGAACAACATAACTGTTATAATAATTATTTGAACGTTTAAAGCGTTAGGTGAGCGGAGGAGTACAGCGCTGTAGTGAAGTCTGGAGTGGTTTTAGCGATACTCTGCACTGTGTGAATAAACTCCTCTAGAAGGCACCTCCCTTCACAGACTGTATATGACTTCTCACAGATACTTTTTCTGGTAAAGCAGACATGTTGAAGTAATTACTTTTACGCGACAAAGCGACCGTTACAAATCCATTTGTCCTTCCTGTCAAGCAGAGCAAGCGCTTGCATGGAGTACAGAATGGGGCATTTTGCCGCGACGCGCGTCTGGTGTGTCAGTTGCTTAAAAGATTAAGAGGTTGCTTATAAAGGCATGTGAATATTTCATATTATGAAACTGTAATATAATTGACTCAATTCAATACAATTCAACAGAGTGCTGCAGTGATGACCTGTCGTAATAATCAATGTATCGACTTATCGCGCAATATATAGGTCTATACATGACCTCAATAATTGGTTTCATCTGCAGATATGGTCTTGTTTAGGGATCTGTGCCTTTGTGCATACGGACATCTGACTGCCAAGTAGGGATTGTGTTTTTCAGCAATAGTGTGCACCCTTCATTTACAGAGAAAAGAAGGTCAGGGAAAAATCTGTAGATGGAAAAATCTCCATACAAGTTCTCGTGCATTTTTATTGTTTTTTTTCTACTTTTTTGTTAGAAAATGTTTATTCAGGTTTTTTAAGGTATCTAATATATTGATACTTAATTTCCATGATCTAAATATTCTTAAAAAATAAAAGTTTGTTGTCATTTGGAAGTGTGTAGGCCTTCTTGCATTATTATGCTGTTACATTATGATTACATATTCAGTGCCTTAAAATGGTCTTTAAAATGACAATAATATCGCTTATCACAATTATTTCTGGGGCAATATATCACACAACAAAAAGTTGTTATCGTGACAGGCCTAAAGCCAACCCCTGGTTCCTTCGACAAAAACCAAGAGGATTGTTCATTTGGCTTTTGGATTATTGCAGAAAAAAACTCTAGGCCATAAACAAACTACACTAATTTATTTAAAAAAACATTTTCACTTAAAGTTTGAGTTAGAAAATAGTTTGCATTAGCACATATACTGGTGTATTTTATGTTGTAGAATAAAAAAATGAAAATATATTGAACTTGTGTTAACCACAGGTCTTGTTTCAGGCATTTAATCAAAAACACTTTCAATAAACTTCAGGAAGATGGAACATTAATTATACATTAAATAATACAGTAAATTAAATAAACTATTTTATTCATATACAGTACACTCTAAAAAATGCTGGGTTAAATACAAACCAGTGCTGGGTAAAATAGGGACAAACCCAGCAATTGGGTTGTTTTGACCCAGCGGTTGGGTTAAATGTCTAACCCAACCTTCTTGGTAGTAACCCAACCACTGGGTCAAAACAACCCAATCGCTGGGTTTGTCCCTATTTTACCCAGCACTGGGTTGTATTTAACCCAGCATTTTTTAGAGTGTAGGTTTATTTATCATGTATACATTCATTTAACATATTTTCTTGTTTGATTAACATTAATGACAGACAGGTATTTAATTGGGCTGCTGAATGCATTGACGTAATATACTATGACACATATCCAGTTTTTACCCACCTGTTTACGTCCACTTAAGCCATAACCGACTGCATTCACACGAGATACTCCACACAATGGACATTTCGACATCTGTCTTTGCGTGTAGGCCTATTTGATTATTCAGGCGCAAGGAGAACTGATTGCCCTGTGTACAATGCTGCTTACATCTTTCCTGACATCCGTTTTTTCCATCATCCCTGCACCTTCATCTCAAATTATTGCTACATTTGTTTAAAACAACTCCTGAAACACTTTTGAGCGTTTTATTATTCTATATCATAAAAAGGAAGCACATGCATCTTTAGAAGGTGGGTTTAAACCCAAACAGCAATTCAAAAAGTCCACTAAATCAATTTCAACTCCAGTCTTAAACCGGGCTCACACTGCGATTTTTTAAAAGTCCTTTAGGATTGTACTTGTCAGACTGTACGAACATGATGATCATGTCACACTGTGGGATCTCAGTTGTCATTAATGTCAGACTGTACGACAGTCAAGACGTGTTAAAAACGGGTGCGCGCAAGAAAACTTGTCCCGAGTTTTACCTTATCAACCCATACACGTTCAGTGACTGCGAGCTGCATTGCACGCGGGGCTGTAATGTTGGCTATCATTAAAAGTATATGAATGGCGGCAATACCGGCGTATTTATGCAGAATAGTGCAAGCAGCACTACACACCCACATGAAAACAGCAGCGCAACCGGTGTTTATCATAGCAAAGGCAACGAATCAGATGAATTCCGTGAGAGGAGTACGAGAGCGGCGAAGTTTATGCGGTTAGAAGAAATCTCTAGCATTAATTCTGATCATGGCTTGTCTTGAAAAACGAAGACAGTTTGACGTTCGTCGTAGGAGATGTCACACTGCAGGACTGTGCGCCAAATCTTCTGACACTGCCAGAAGTTTGTCGGAGGTCAAATTTGATCGCAACGGTCATTAATCGGCTGTCGGTGAACATGTCAAAACAGCGATCAAAGACTACAGATTTTAGCCTAGGATTATAGGAATCTTTTAGGATTTTCAAAATTTGTCTCAGACGACCAAATCGTGGCCAAAATCGCAGTGTGAGCCGGGCTTTCGGGACCCACCTAACAGAATGTTTCACTAATGTGTCACTAATTAAAACACCTGATTCAACTCATCATCCTCTAGTCTGTTGAACAGTGAGACATCTAAAACATCCTGGGAGGTGATTCCTGAGGACTGGAGTTGAGAAGCACTGCACTAACCTAAAACTAACTATTCTAACAAATATAAGTAATAATCAGTCTATTCAAAGAAAAGGATTCCCACTTATTAAAAGTTCTGTTCACATTAAAAAACATAATCAAAAACGGTCCATGACTGATCAAAAGTATCCAGATAGAAATGTATTGCCTATTCTCAATGGGAAAGTGCCCAAGCAACATTGCCTGACAACATTGCTCAAAAAGTTGCCCCATGTAAACATTTACAATAACATATACTTACCTATACTAAAAAGCACACAAATTCAATTAATAGAACTGAATATTAATCAGGGCTTACAACAAATGTTGATTAATAGAATCACATTATTCTGTGTTCTCAAATATAACACACTCTAAAAAATGCTGGGTTAAATATAACCCAGCGCTGGG